GGGAGTTCAACCCCACAAAGTGAAAAGTCATAAAATTGGGCAAGAAGACCGCAGACGGAGTACAGTCTAGGGGGCCAGAGACTACAAACCTCACTCAAGGAAAAAGATACTGGGGTGAGTATAACACCAGGCACATCTCCTGAAGCGCACATCAACCAAATAACTGCTGCAGCATATGGGCGCCTTAGCAAAACCTCAGAACAGCATTCCGACATCTTAATAAGGAATCGTTCAGGACCCTGTACACCGTGTACGTTAGGCCCATATTGGAGTATGCGGCACCAGTTTGGAACACACCTAGCCAAGCACGTAAAGAAACTAGAGAAAGTGCTAAGGTTTGCAACAAGACTAGTCCCAGAGCTAAGAGGTATGTCCTACGAGGAGAGGTTAAGGAGAATCAACCTGACGACACTGGAGGACAGGAGAGATAGGGGGGGACATGATAACGACATACAAAGTACTGAGAGGAATTGACAAGGTGGACAAAGACAGGATGTTCCAGAGATTGGACACAGTAACATGGGGACACAGTTGGAAGTTGAAGACACAGATGAATCAGAGGGATATTAGGAAGTATTTCTTCAGCCACAGAGTAGTCAGTAAGTGGAATAGTTTGGGAAGCGATGTAGTGGAGGCAGGATCCATACATAGCTTTACGCAGAGGTATGATAAAGCTCACGGTTCAGGGAGAGTGACCTAGTAGCGATCAGTGAAGAGGCGGGGCCAGGAGCTCGGAATCGACCCCCGCAACCTCAGCTAGGTGAGTACAACTAGGTGAGTACACACACACACACACACATACACACGCCGTGGAATAGCCTAGAAAGTGGCGTAGTGGAGGCGTGAGCCATACATAGTTTTAAGGCGAGGTATGATAAAGATCATGGAGCAGGGAGAGAGAGGACCTAGTAGCAATCAGTGAAGAGGCGGGTCCAGGAGCTATGAATCGACCCCTGCAACCACAAATAGGTGAGTACACACACACACGTGGTAATGCTTTATTTACAGCTAGCAAAGTCAGGGTATTTCTCCAGAATGGTCTGTAATATACCACTGTGGATAAAATACTTTGCCATTTTTTGAAAATTTCTGAGTGAGTAGTCTCTAAATTCATTAATTTTATCACACTCCAGTACATAATGACGCAAGGTGTGACAATAGTCCATCTGGCAAAGTTTACATTTCGTTTGGTCTACATCTGGTGGTGGTGATTTAACCTGCCAAAGATACTTGTAAACCCAGCCGGAGCCGGGCGGTAGTGACATCCAAGAGTCTGCTTATTTTGTTGGATGCACCATAGACATGTGGCTCCTCCTGCAGTGTGCAGTCAATTCCTCAAGCTTCAACATCAGTGCACACGGTGGGTGTCTGGGCACCCGGAGGGCTCCAGGTGGCAACAATCAACAGCCCCTCCCAGCAGACATAGGTGACATCTGCCGTGCCTTCCCATTTACAGAGGGCCTGGGATCTTCAATCAACTTGGCATCCACCAGGACGTTGACAGGTTCCCAAGGCGGCTCTCCCTTGGGCTGCTAGCGGAGTCGCTGGCCTCTTCGACCTCTTGGGGAGGGTCGATGGAGCTCCTACAAACAACAAATCCCGGGGCAACTTGCTGTTGTTTGCAATGGCTGTCCTGCCGAGGAGGGACAGGGACCTAACAACGTCTGTTGGCAATGGATGAATTCATTACAATGTTTGTTATCTGATCATTACTCTGAAAATTGTTCATGATTGTAATCATGTGTTCACGATTCATTACCTTTGAAACTTGTCATGATTGCAACCAGCTCTACCTGGAGCTCATTACCTTTGTCAGTTCTCATTATTGTAACCAGATCTAGTTCATTACCTTTGTAATTAGTCATGAGTGTGACCAGGTCTACCTGGAGCTTATTACCTTTGTACTTGGTCACGATTGTCACCAGATCTAGTTCATTACCTCTGTAACTTGCTCAGCTATCAAAACTTTGGAGTCCAGTCCCTGGACCAATTATGTACCTCTGTAATCTTTTGACTACCGCCCACAGGATGGGTATGGGGTGCATAATAAACATATTAAACTATCAGCGATATTAGGAATAAAATAATTTCCCCTTCTTCCTATATCGTCTTCTATGGCTTTTGAAAAAGAGAAAACGGAGCTTTAAAGAGGATAACTACATTATATCAAAGCATACCATACTAGATCACCAGTAAACCTAGAAACAAACGCAATTTTCTCGATTTTTTTTTTATTTTTCCCAAGTCGGGAGGCCGGGCGGTGATCCAGGCGATTATCTGGGAAGTTATTGACTTATTTCATCAAGACTAGACTTTATTATTGATTTAAATGAAATACTTTACTAAAAACAATCGTAAATCAATGTTTGTTCTCCTGTCTGGCGATGTGAAAATAATTTTTTCCAAATATTTTGGGAGTTATATGCGAGTAAAGGGCCAGGTATTGTGCAACATGTAAAAAACTTACAAACTTTATTTGTTTGTAGAATAAAGGTAAGATATTTACAGTGACTGCAGTTTGTCAGAATATTGTATTATGATTGTTTTAAGAGTACCAAGTCCCAAAACCACCTTTCATAGTGTCACTAACTTAGACCTTCGTGTCTAATGCAATTTTCAGTATATATATATTTTTCTCAGCTGTTTTTTTGGCTATGTTATTGAAACTTACAGATATTATGCTTTATAAACACGTCTTTATGTACACCAAAAATGAAAGAAATCGGACGAGAAAAAAAATATGCATATCTGGCCTCCCCTTAAATCTCATTTTGAGCTCTTCACATACTTCTCGGAGTTTTCCTGTGAGCGGGCCCCCACCTTCCCTCCTCCCCTTTATCGGGGCCTTGCCAAACTGCCCTTCCCCTCCTGAGTGGCAATCCCAACAGCTTAGGGTCAGACTTATTTTCGTGCTATGTCTTTCCTACTGTTGCTGGGTCCCCCTCCTTATTTTTCCCATACTTTTTTTCGGTCTTTTGCCCTTTTCTTTTTTTTTTTCCTGAGCCCCTTTGTCTTCTGTTTTTTTTCCCCATTCTCTGTGCACTTATTTTTTTGCCCCCCTTTACCCCTTTTTGGGTGAAACCAAAGGGGCTCATTCTGGGTCTTCCCTTTGTTTCTGTTGTCCTTGGAAACAAACAACAAACCCCTGTTCCTTCTCCCCTCTATGGGATCACTTCTCTTGCAGTGCTCCCCCTTTCCCTTTTTATTTTTACCCGGCTCGTCTTCCCTTTTTTCCCACCTTTTTTTCCGCTTCCACTACTACTACCCCTTTTTCTTCTACAAAAACTACTGTTGAAATTTAGACACATGGCGGCGTCTGGCTGTTTTTTGTTTGGGGCGTTTCCCCCATCCAGTGGGTGGGTGGGTGGCGAAAAAGTCTCCCATGGGGGTGCCCGGGGGTTTTGCATGTGCTTAATTTAATTTCCCGTCGGGGAATTTTTTACAATTCTTTTTACTTCA